GCCTCAGAATTGTTTTAATTTGCATTTTTCCAGTCACTAAAAAGAGTATTTTTTAATATGGCTATAGATAGCTTTGATTACTTCCTCTGAAAACTAATCACAACTTTTGATCATTTATCAATTGGGAAATGGCTCTTATTTTTATAAATTTGACTCAGTTCTCTATGTATTTGAGAAATAAGGCCTTTATCAGAGAAACTTGTTTCAAAAATTGTTTTCATAGTTACTATTGCTAACTGTATTTCCCTCCATCCTATCACCCTCTCCCCATCGTTTATTCCATTCTCTCTCCTTTTACCCTGTCGCTCTTCAAAAGTGTTTTGCTTCTGACCACCACTCCCTCAATTTGCTCTGCCTTCTATCACCCCTCTTCTCTTATCTCCTTCCCCTCCTACTTTCCTGTAGGGTAAGATAGATTTCTATACTCAACTGAGTGTATATGTTATTCCCTCTTTGAGCCAATTCTGATGAGAGTAAGGTTCACTCACTCTCCCTCATCTCCCCCGCCCCTTCCCCTCCACTGTAAAAGCTTTTTCTTGCCTCTTTTATGTGAGATAATTTACCCCATTCTACCTCTCCCTTTCTCCCAGTACATTCCTCTCTCTCACCCCTTAATTTTATTTTTTAGATATCATCCTTCATATTCAACTTGCTTCTATGCCTTCTGCATATATATATATGTATTCTAACTACCCTAATAATGAAAAAAGTCTTGTAGTTACAAATATCATCTTCCCATGTAGGAATGTGAACAGTTTAACCTTATTAAGTCTTTTATGATTTCCCTTTCCTATTTACCTTTTTATGCTTCTTCTGAGTCTTGTATCTGAAAGTCAAATTTTCTATTCAGCTCTTGTCTTTTCATCAAGAATGCTTGAAAGTCCTCTATCTCATTGAATATGAAATTCAATTTTTCCCCTGAAGGATTATATTCAGTTTTGCTGGGTAGGTGATTCTTGGTTGTAATCCTAGCTCCTTTGCCCTCTGGAATATCATATTCCAAGCCCTCCAAGTAGAATATGCTAAATCCTGTGTTATCCTGACTGTGGCTCTATGATATTTTAATTGTTTCTTTCTGGCTGCTTACAATATTTTCTCCTTGACCTGGGAACTCTGGAATTTGGCTGTAATATTCCTAGGGGTTTTCCTTTAGGGATCTCTTTTAGGAGGTGATTGGTAGATTCTTTCAATTTCTATTTTACCCTCTGGTTCTAGAACATCAGGGCAGTTTTCCTTGATAATTTCTTAAAAAATGATGTCTAGGCTCTTTTTTTTGATCATGGCTTTCAGGTAGTCCAGTAATTTTTAAATGCTCTCTCCTGGATCTGTTTTCCAGGTCAGTTGTTTTTTCAATGAGATATTTCACATTGTTTTCTATTTTTTTCATTCTTCTGGTTTTGTTTTATTGTTTCTTGATTTTTCATAAAGTCATTAGCTTCCATTTGCTCCATTCTAATTTTTAAGGAATTATTTTCTTCAGTGAGCCTTTTGATTTCCTTTTCCATTTGGCCAGTTCTGCTTTTTAAGATATTCTTCTCCTCATTGGCTTTTTGGACCTCTTTTACCATTTGGCCTAGTCTGTTTTCTAACGTGTTATTTTCTTCAGTATTTCTTTTTGGGGGGGGAGGGCAATTGGGGTTTAGTGACTTGCCCACCATCACACAGCTAGTGTTATGTGTCTGAGGCCGGATTTGAACTCAAGTCCTGCTCAATCCAGGGCCAGTGTTCTATCCACTGTGCCACCTAGCCTGCCCCAAGCTGTCCCTTTTCTTCAGTATTTTTTTGTGTCTCCTAAAACACAACTAAGATGTTAACTTGTTTTTCATGATTTTTCTTGCATTACTCTCATTTCTCTTCCCAATTTTTCCTCTACTTCTCTTACTTGATTTTCGAAATCCTTTTTGAGCTCTTCCATGACCTGAGACTAATTCATATCATTCTTGAAAGTTTTGGATGTAGGAGCTTTGACTTTGACTTTGTTGTCTTCTTCTGAGTGTGTGTTGATCTTCCTTGTCACCATAGTTACTTTCTATGGTCAGAATTTTTTTTCTGTTGTTTGCTCATTTGCCCAGCCTATTACTTGATATCTGCTTTCAGGGTGGAGGGCACACTGTCAGATGTTTTGTACAGATGTTTTCTGAGATACTTCCAGGGACCTGTAAGTTTTGAGTTCTTCCAAAGTGGTATGATCTAAGGAGAGGTGTTCACTCCTTTCCTGGCCTGTGCTCTGGTCTGTGAGTGACCACAAGCCCTCTTTTCTGCCCTGGAACTGTGACGAGGGTTCCCACTGCACTGCTGCCTCAAGCTCTTCTATGCTAGCACTCCCCTTTGTCCTGGTACTGCCACCCAAGAACTTCAACCCAGATCCAAGTATGGGCAAAGCAACAGAGTCCTGCCTCATGAAGTGCTAGCAAAGAGATCCCTATAATCTCCATCTGACCAGTTGTTTGATCCACTTACCATCTGTGGGCTGAGAGCTCCAGAAGCAGCTCTGCCACCACTACTGATTCAGTCACTCCCAAAGCCTGCTGCTGGTATGCTGTAGCCAGGGCTATGCTGGCACAGCCTGCGCTGGACTGTACTCCACTCTCATCCAGATGTGACAGACCTTTCCTGCTGAACTTCTAAGTTGTCTTTGGTGTCTTCAGGCTGAAAGGTCTGGAAACCTGCCACTGCTGCCAGTGATTCAGTCACCCTTACCCTTAGTGCTGTTCTGGGTTTGCTGGCACCCAGTCTGTGCAGGCCTCTGCTCCTTTCTCACCCTGGTGCAAGAGACGTTTCCTGCTGACCTTCTAAGTTCTGTTGGCCTGGACATTTGTTTCACTCAGTCTTGTTGTGTGTTTTCCTGCTCTAGAATTTGCTTAGAGTCATTTTTTAAAGGTATTTGGAAGGATTTGGTGGACAGCTCAAGTTAGTCCCTGCCTTTATTCTGCCATCTTGGCTCCGCTTCCCAGGTCCTTCTTACTGTTATTTTTTAAGCTTTGTCCTGGGCCCAACTCCTGCACTCCTTTCCCCCTCCAAGCCACAGCTAGCCCCCACTGCCCCACCCCCCTCTAGAATTTTAGCCCATAGGATACTACTTATCCTTCCTCTGGACCCTCAAAAACCTGCTTTCTGAATATTGAGGGTGTATCTCAGACCATGCCTGGCTTTCCCCTCTTTATCACAAACCTTAGGAGGGAGCGACAACTTTATCCCCAAGGTTTTCATCATTTCATGCCCAATAACCAGTTCCATTTTGGTGAGAATCTTCCAGGATAGAATTTTATCTGATTTGTTTCCCTGCCTTTTGGAGGATAAAGTATCATCCAGGCAAGTCAGAAAGTTACCAGCTACTTTGCTTTGGATCAAAAGAGCTTCAGCAGATGTCTGGACAGTCCAGTCTCTACGCCTCAGTGCCAGGCTTGTGATGTTTCCCATATTTCCTCTCCATGGCAAACAGGTCTGTACCATACTCTAATGACAAGATCATTTCTGTTTCACCATTGGTTGGTCTTCATACTGACATTCTCCATCATCCTCTTCCACTCTGATTCCTGGATTTCCTCACATGAGTATAGCTGATGTGTATATGATGCTTGCTTTGCACCAAGCTTATCTCATTTAAATATTATCTCATCTGATCATTGCAACAACTCTATGAAGGAGGTCCTATTTTTATCCCCATTTTACAGATGAGGAAACCAAAGCTGGGAGAGATGAAAGAACTTGCCGAGGATTGCATAAAAAAGTGTTGACATCAGAGTTCAAACTGAGGTCTTCCTGACTCTTAATTCCAGTGATTTATTCACTATGCCAATACCTCCCCCCCACACACACACACTCTCTCTCTCTCTCTCTTTCTCTCTCTCTCTCTCTCTCTCTCTCTCTCTCTTCTCTCTCTCTTTCTGTCTGTCTCTCTTTCTCTCTGTCTCTGTCTCTCTCTGTCTCTCTCTCTCTCTCTCTCCCTCTCTCTCTTTTTTTCTTGTCCCATGTCTTTGAATAAGATGTACCATCCAGAACCACATTCCACACAGATTCCATCCCATCAAGTCTCAGTGATACCTGTGAAGTCTAATTTGCCCCAGGATCTCTAGCTTATTTTGATTGTGGCCTAAACATTCTCTTGTGAATTTCTGGACTGCTATTCTCCCTTCACTGTAGCTACTCTCTGTGGTGTCTACGTTTAATCTCCATTATTTCTAGAGCTTTTCTGTCCATTTTCAGTCCCTCTTTAGACTCCTCCAGCCTTGCCACCCCTTCTCCCGTAGTTGCTTCTGGATTTGCTTTTGGATTTGCTTAGTTACTTCCATAAATCTAATCCACTAAATCCCACTCTTTATCTCTATCTACATAGATGTCTCCTGGAGCCAGCTCAAACCAGAAGGCTGATTGTTCAGTTTCAGTATGAGCATTTACATCTCAGAAAATGGCAAACACTACAAATTAGGGCTTGATTTCATCGTCTAGATTTAAAGGGATGGAGACAATCTTAATAATGCATGTTAAACTTCAGAGTACGACGTGCTACATTTTTTTCCTCCTTAAGACCCAGCTGTTAAATATTACCAGCATGACTCCTTTCAGGGTCAGCACACTGAATTAAGCAACATTCTGGACCAGAGTTTAGTATTATAGTAAGGACTCAACCCAAGACTAAGTCAGCAAAACAAAACAATAAAATAAAGTAATAAACCTATCAGTTTGGGAAGATAACAAAAGAAAAAAAAGCAGGATTAGCCGTAAGTCAGTAAAAGAGATAACCCCAGGGTTAGCAGATTGGAAGGCAGGAGCTGTGGTAAGCCCTAAAGGTATGTATGGTATGGGAGAGGATCTGTGGTGTTGGAAGAGGAACCCGGAGAGCGTTGAAGGGTATTGTAGGAAAGAAGAGAGGAGGAGGAGAGCCATCTACTGGAAGTGGTAAGAGTACAAAGCCCATCAAGAAAGAAGGGGTGGGGGCCTCTCTTAGCTGGCCTCTCCCCCTCTAACTCCCCTCCAAGCTCTCTAGTCTCTCTACTAACCTGAGTTTTTCCAGGATCTGGAGATGTGCTGGTAGGGAAATCAGAGTCTTGGAGAGAAGACCGAGTGATTCGTTTACAAGGTTTTGTGGGTCTAGTATGGGCGGAGTAGAAATAACTAAAGGGGCTGGTACTTGGAGTTAACTGAAAGAAAAGAAGGAAGGGAGGGGCAAGAGGAAGCTGGAGGTGGTGGCCAACCTCTCTCCCTGACTTGAGTCGATATAACTTATAAAAAGTGAACTAAATTGGGGTAGTGGGGAGTGAAGAAGACAGGGCAGAATGCCAAAATGCTGAATTTTTGTCAAATCAGGAACTTTTAAAATTCTGGTGCTGCTGTGATATTAGAACCTTTGGGGTTAAGGCATCTCCGTTCCCTTGCACAAATACCGCCCATCCTTACACTGCTTCTCCTCCGCCTAGTATGTTCTAGTCTAAAAATCGAGCTGGGCTTGGAGTCAGTGTCTGAGCCCATGTGCTTTCTCACTCCAGCACTTACTCTGAGTGATCAGGAAGAAGCCATTGAACCTTTTTGTGCCTTTTTAGCTGAAAAAATGGGTTCGGTACTGGTACCATCTACCTTACAATGTTTTGAGGACCATGCACATATACGATGTCAGCTTCTTAAGGGAAAGAGCTGTTTTTTTTGTTTTTGTTTTTTGTTCAGGGTGTGTGTGTGTGTGTGTGTATGTGTGTGTGTGTGTGTGTGGTGGGGTGTGTTGGTCTCTTTGTATCCCCAGCTCCCAGGCAGGATGCCTCACATTCAAAAAATGATGTCTATGAATTGAATTTTATCATTTAATCAAACTACATGACTTGATGTTCTTGAATGGGGAGTGTAGGGGTTCAGAAATAGTGTAAGTCATTGGCCTGGCTGCTCTCAGGAAGCTTACTATATAGCAGGGGCAACAAAATTAATACACAACATAGTGTTTGTAGGATTCTTTGAAACTGCATGTTATAAACTGTAAGTGATGTCATAGGAATCAAGAAAAGGGAGATCTCTGAGGGTTGGAAAGGTCTAGGAAGATATATGTCATGGAGGGGATAGGACTTGTAGGATTCAGATAGACTGAAAGGAAAAGGTGTCCAAGCCCATGAAACAGCAGGAGTTTAAAAAAATGTGAGTGGCAACTAGCATGATATTTTGCTTTTAATTCCATTTTATTTTCAGTTCTAAATTCTCTTTCTCTTACCTTCTCCTTCCTCACCCATTGAGAAGTGAAGAAAAATAAAACCTATTACAGATATGCATAGTCAAGCAAAACAAATTCCCATTACTCATGGCCAAAAGAAAAAGAAACTATAGCATGAAATTCTCATAGAATATTGCCTCGGTATTTCAGCTTGACTAGACTTAGAAGATACATAGGATATTGAACATAAGAGCTGGAAGGCAGCTTAGAGCTCTTGTCTGACCCCCTCATTTTTTTCAGATGAAGAAACAGAAGTCCAAAGACAGGTAGTGCATTGTCCAAGATCATGGTGTGAGAAAGTAGAAGAGAAATACTTTTGGAAAGTTGGACCTCGTAAACTGGGAGTTATTGAAGATGTTCGAACGGGTGAATGATGAGATTTGTGTTTAAGAGCGTGTCTAATGTCCCCAAAGCCCTAGTCTGAAAGTTCAGCTACAAACCTTTTTTGTAATGAATGAGGTGTGAGGCAATGAGTTTAGACTAGGGTGGTAGCAGTGGAAATGGAGAACAAGGGAGGATTGTGAAAAAGATTACTAAAGAAAAATGGAGAAGGCTTATTTGGCAAGGACATCATGTGTCCTAGGATGCAGGATAAATTTGTCAAATATGACCCAAAGATTTCTGCCTGGGGGTGACTAGCTGAATGTTTGTGTCATGGACAGAGATGGGAATTCAGAGGGACTGTTGGAGTGATTCCACTTTGGTAGAAATGCAAGCTCCATGAAGGCATCTCTCGTAACTGTGTCCCCAGTATCTAGCACACTGCCTGGCACGTTGTAGGTGCTTAATAAATGCTCAATGACTGAGTGTAGTATTTCTATGTGGGACACTTTTTTTCCCCAAATCCTGAGAAAGATCAGTTGAACAATCAGGAATAAGTGTGCTGATTCTCCTTCGAGAATTAAAGTTAATAATCAACATAGAGACATTACTGGTTGATAGGAATCCACCGATGAGTAAAAGCAAAAAACACTGACATATGGAGTCAAAGGTTAAGGTCTACATTTCTGGAAACCAGAACAGGAGCACATAGAAGAGAAGGCAGTCTTACTGCCATATTTGTGGCTTTATCTGCCGTTGACAGTGAGTCATTCTTGCAAATAAATATTATTTATAAGTTTCTCTGCATAACACACTTTATACTAATCTTATATAAGTAGTATCCCAAAAAATAACAAGTTTTGGAAGCAAAATTGAGTCCCATTAAATTGGCAATTTTGTCATATCATTTTGTGTAATGTTAACTTTGCTAGAAGTCAATGTTACATTATTTGAATGCTACCCAATAATGTTTACTGGTGTTTTCCAGTGTTTAAATATTTGCTAATGGTTACAGTTCTTTTTGTAAAATAAATACTACTAAACTATATTTTTATTTATTCAGAAATTTTAGGGGGCAGCTAAGTGGCACAGTGGATAAAGCACCAGCCCTGAAGTCAGAAGGACCTGAGTTCAAATCCAGCCTCAGACAAAACACTTGACACTTTTACTAGCTGTGTGACCCCAGGCAAGTCACTTAACCCCAATTGCCTAAAAAAAAAAAAATTCAGATAACCAGTAATAATGAGTAGATTATGAAGAATGCTAGTTAGTCGACTTGTTGACAGATGTTTGCCAGTAAGCAATATATTAGTTTGTAATAATAATAAACCATGCATTTATTATTTTATCTTTTTTTATAGAAAACCTGAAACTTTTAGTATAACCCTCACAGAAAAATGACTGTTTATTATTATGATAACTCATTGATATTTAAAAACATGTAAATAAAGTATTTTTTAAAAATACAGAATAACATGATTTTGTGAATTACAATTTCTCATTCCCAAATCCTGAAGATTAATACACATCAGGAATTTGGGAACACTATTGAAAGTACACGAATGGATAAAAAAGCATTCAGCTTAAATGCTTATTGTGTGCTAAGCTCTGCTAAGTGCTGGGGATACAAATAGAAAATTGAGACAATCCCTGCTCTCAAGGAACTTCCATTCTGATAGGGGGAGACAACACAGAGTTTGGAGGCAGATCTTAGTTTAACATACCAGCTTTTCCCTTCCCTTCCCCTCCCTCCAGCTCTCATCTTCCTGGTCCTTCTCCCCTCAATTCTTCCAGGTAGCTGTGAGCTCTCCCTTTTGGTCACTAGCACCAAGTGAGTTAAACCAAAGTTGAGGTCAGGAATGTAGGATCCTAAGAGCACTGAGTTCTCAAGTCAGGTGCCTGTAGCTGTTCACTTTGTTGTAGTATTTGTTCTCCTAGGATACTCTCCCACCTATAGACAGGGAAAGCCTGTGTCAGCTTTCCTTCCCTTCCTAATACTATTTTTGTCTCCTCCATGCTAAACCCCATATGTAAGAAAACACACATTTGTTTTCTCTATGACTCCATCCCAGGTTTCTTCCTTTTTTCCCTACCCCAAAGTAGCCCAGCATTTCACTTAGTCTCTTCATTGTGAAAACTAACATTAACAACTCTACAGCACTAGTATGAAATAGCTGGTTAAGTTTTGGAGCTAAAATCTGAATCTAGCTCTTTTAACTCCAAATCTAGTCTTTTCCACTTGTCTAATAAAAATTATTAAAAATCCCCCCCAAGCCTGCTGGAGGTAAAAAATAAAACTAGGTTCTTGGGAAGGTTAGATCCTTTAAGGCAGAAAAATATGGCCACTTAAGTCTTCAGCTCATCTGTCCAGTGTGTCTGTGGAGATAAATGGGAGAGTCAGAGTTGGGCCTAGGATGAGAAAAGAAGAAGAATTAGTCTGGACCACAAAACACACTTCTCACCTCTTCAAGGTCAGATTCTACCTCTTCCAGGTTGCTAGGATATACCTGGTGTAGACGGATCAGGTCTCCCCACAACAAAGTGTTCTTACAGCTACACAAAAAAAGAAGTGGACCAAAAGGAGAGATTTAGTGGAGAAGGAACATAGACCATTCTTTTCTTCATCTCCAAGAGCTTCTAGCTTCCAACTCACCCTGGGCAGCAGCCCTTCAGGGGCAAAAGCTGTTGGGGTTCCTCTTGAAGGAATTCTTCAGCAAGGCAAATCAGGTGAGCATTCAAAGGACAGTTGGGGTGAGGACAGCAAAGGGGTCCATCCTTATCCTGCCAGTTAGACAGGAGATATGGGGTTTAATTTAATTTAAGCAAAGAATATTTTATTGTTCTCACATCACTCTACAGCTCTCCCATTGGTCATACCTTAGGAAAGACTATGCTGTCTCACCTGGACTAACTGCTGGCAGAGAGAGCAGAGGACCTCATCTGCTTCCTTGCCCACCATCCCTCTCCTTCCCCTCTGAGTTAGGCCTGGTTGCAAAGGCCCAAAAGCAAGAGGCATGTGCTGGGGAGGTGGAGGGCTGAGTTCCTGCTGGAAGTCCTGTCGTAGCCAACGCAGAGTCAGGGGCAACCGATTCCAAGGGGCCACCTGCAGCATCTGGGCCAGTACCCGAAGGTGGAAAAAAAAGGTCCCCTCCTTCCTGGCTTTGCCACTTATGTGAGACAGGCGACGGGAGGCCCCAGGGTGCTGCCAGGCCCACTCAAACTAAAGGGGAGAGAGATGGAGGACAAGGTGTTGTGGGCATCGAAGTTTCGGCTTTCATACCTTTCTTTCTCCAACCTGTTCCTTCTCCCCTGCCCTCCCTGCCCACTCCCTTGTTGCGCCCTGACCCTTACCCTAAGGGCAGCCACATCAGAAGGAAAGCCATGGATGATGAGGACCATTTCCCTGCAGAAACCACGAGGCAGTCAGGGACACAGTGTGTGCGGGGGAGCTGGTCTACGTGTGGTCTAAGGTCTGGGGATGCTTGGGGGCTTCGGTGTAAGGGAGGGCGTACTCTGGCCGATGGATGGCCGAGGCTCTCCCAGCCCTGGCTACATGGGACGCGCCTGCTGCTTTCCCCAGGTCCAGCCACCCATCAGCCTATTTCCCCGAGCCGGCTAGAGCTTGGAAGGCGTGGCGTCTCTGCCCGGCCCCGCCCCGCCCCCTGGTGCCCGTTACCATGGTGCCCATTACCAAGGTCCTCGCCCGCTGGTCCTCCACGCCCCTCCCTTCTTGCGCCCAGCGTTGTGCTGCCGGACTCGCCGAGAGGGGTTCACAGTGAAGCCCACGTACACGCGGCCTCTGTATTTGGGGTTGAGACAGTAGAGGAGGTAGACCCCGAAGAATGGCTGCGGCTTCTTCACCTCCCGAGAGGCTTCCGCGGGCCCCATCGTTCCCTGCAGAGGATGGAAAAAAGATCAGGGGTAGCCCGGAGGCCGGGGAATAGCTGTCATGGCCGTGGTGTGGTTTTTGTGAAGCCTCTGACCCAGACGTGCTCGTTTACCGGCCGGGGGCTTCGTTCCTGGGAGTCGACACACTGCCGAAGGCTGAGGGGAGAGGAAATTAGAGGAGGGGGACCCTCACCAGGCTACGATCGGGACGTCGAAACTGGGTCAGAAAATACAAAAAGGGGAGGGCCTTTCTGAAAAGAACCGGGAGCCCACCCCGAGCCGAGTTCAGCACCGAACTTCCGGTGTGGGCCAATCGCAGACTAAAGGTTAAATGAGGGCGGAATGGTGGGTCCATGGGGTAAAATGAGGGCGGAAGCGACGAACATGGAACTGCGGTGGCAACGAACGAGAGGAGTCTTAAGGGCGGAAATGACTGTATAAGACTGGGGAGACAAAACGTGAAAGGTACAGTGAGGGCGGAAATTGTACGCCGAAAGGCATCTCCCGGAAGTGGCGATAGTGTGGGCGGAAGAGGCGCCGGCTCAGGGTCCTGTGACTGGCCTGGGATTCGGAAGCCGAGATGGAGCTGAGTGCCGAGTACCTTCGGGAGAAGCTACTGCGGGAATTGGAAGCGGAACACGTGGTGAGTGCGGGGGCGGGGCGGGTCCACTCCCCCCTCACGTGAATTCTAAGCCCGAGTGGCTGGAGGGGTGGGGTGGGGGGAGAGAAGTGAGGCCGGGGTGGGGCGTGTGGGGTGTCCTCTTAACCCTTCCCGCCCCGAGCAGGAGGTGGAGGACACGACCCTCTCCCGCTGCGCTGCTAGTTTCCGAGTCCTCGTGGTCTCCTCCAAGTTCCAGGGGAAGCCGCTGCTGCAGAGACACAGGTGAGTGTGAGCTACCTGCCACCCCCCCCATCCTGGGCGCTCTGCCTCCCCCACCCCCCACAATTCCCTGGGGCAGTGACCTGTGACCCCACCTTGGCTTTCCCTCAGGCTGGTGAACTCGTGCCTGACGGAAGAGATGCAGCACATCCACGCGTTCGAGCAGAAGACCCTGACCCCTGAGCAGTGGGACAAGGAGCGGCAGAAGTGGGGCGCCGAGCAGGGCGGGAGACCCCCACCTCCACATTAAGACATTAAATCTCTGGTCTGTGGCTCGGCGCCCGCTGTGTTCCCTGCATATGTGTGTGTGTCCGTCTGTCTGTCCGTGTCCGTTTGTTCACCCGGCTTGTTGTGGGTGGAGTCAGGACTCTGGCGTTTCTCGGCCAGGTTTAGCCCTTTCACCCTTTTTGGCGGCCCTCTTCTTTTCTGAGCCTCATTTTTCTCGTCTGTAAAATGAGAGTGTTGAACTACACAGGGACGCCCTTAGGTCCCTTCTGGCTTTGTTTCTGTGACTCTTTGGCCGAGGTGCTATAAGGGGCTAATCTTCAGGCCAGGGGACTGTGGTGCTTTCCAGGTTGCTATTGACGAGTCATCCATGTTTCCCCTTCCAGACCACTGGGCAGGGAATTACCTCCAGCCCCAACTCCTTATTGATTTATTTCCTCTGGCTTAAGTTACTAACTGGTGTATGGAGAAGTAACCCCCCAGCAGGGATTTCCCAGCTGTCTAGAAGGCTCAAGATTCTCAAGGGAAGTTCCTTGTACCCCTGAAATCATGTGTTTGGTTTCTTAATGTTGTAACAGCAGCTCTGGGAACTATGAAGTGGCGTGGAAATTTTCCTTTTGACCCTGGAGAGATAGAGGACCAGGCTTTTCTCACGAAATGTCCTTGGATTATGCATAACATGTTAGAACTGAAGGCCACTGTAGAAACTATTTACAGTAAGCTGTTATTTAAAGAGTAAACAGACCTGGAGAGGGGGAAGATTTGGGGGGGGAAGGGGGGTATCATGAAGCCGGTTACTGGAGCCAGGACCGAGGTCTTCTGATTCAGCAGAGACTTCTTTCCTTTGCCCTGTACTGCCATCTGGAAAAGAGAGTTTCTGCTGACTTCCACTTATCCAAGCTTCATCCTACTGTTCCATGGCCACTTAGTCGGTCTGAAACCACTGCCAGTTCTACAAGTTTCATTAGCATATGATAGGGAAAAGTGTTCCAGAAAATTACGGTAATCATTGTGTAATTAATAAGAATCAGGCTTGCTCCTCAAGAAGAATTGAGAAAATGGACCTCCTTGCTATGTTGGTTAGTTTTGCTGAATTCTTTCCCCCTCCTTTTTTTAATCTTTGGGAATGAAAGTAATGTAAAAATAAAAGATAGCAATTAAAATAAGATGGAAAAGGCTTTCTGAATGATCTGGGGATAAGGAAAGCTCCTGATGGAGCCAGCAGTGTGGTACATAGCACTGGAGTTAGTCAGAAAGACCTGGGATCCTGGGCAGATCACTTAACCTCCCTTACCTTCAGTTTCCTTATTTGTGATTGTGAGGATCAAATGCAATAATATGTAAAATACTTTGCAACTTCAAATGCTCTGTAAATATTAATTATTACTACCACTTGGGTTTCTAGAACAGCTTGGTGGGCACAGTAATCACTTACCCATGCTCTTTCTGGAAGATTCCTGACTTGGGACAGCTGGGAGACACTGCTACTGTGTGTCACCAAATTTAGAAATAGATTTGGGGAGGGGGGAGCTGGAAGGGACTTTAGAGGTTATCTAGTTCAAATATTGTTCATTTTATAGAGAAGGAAACTTAAGCCAGGATCTGGTGAAGTAAGTAACATCACCTGAAGTCACATGATGAGGCAGTGCCAAAGTCAAGCTTCAAACTCAAGTTCTCTGATTCTAGATGGTGTGCTTTATACCAGGCCCTGTTATTGCTGACTGATTAATGGGAATAGGAATAGAAAGAACTAAGTACTTACTTGCTGTGTGCTGAGTCCTGGGCACAGCTGTGGTGTGAGCTGACCCTTTCCTCTTGGGATTTGAGATGAGTCCCTAACAGGACTCTTAGCATGTTACCTCATGCCAAAAGCTTTCAAATCCTCAGTGTTAACTGAATGTAAGGTTAATTGTTTGACAGTCAGCCCAGAGCTCATATGCCCCAACATATTACTTTGCAAGTCAGTCCTCTTGGGAGGTAATACATACTCTTACCATGCTAGAATGCTGGAAAGGATTCCAAGAGGCCGCTAGTCCACCTGTCATTTTACAAGCAATGCTTCTCAAAATCCTGTGTGTGTGTATGCCTGTGAATGCTGTACACACACAAGCCATTCACCTTGATTTTGATTTCTGGGGAAATTCTAAAATTTGTTATTAAAGGGACATTTAGTGAATGTCTAAAAAAAAGGAATAAGTGATCACAAGGAACAGTGAGTCATTGCAGACTAACCTTGTTCCATGTTCTGTCAGGCTTACTAGACTAGAGTTTACCTAGGTCTTAGCAAAGCACTTTTAAAAAGTCTCCCATGATACGTGTCATGGACAAGAAGGAGACATATGAGCTAGTCAACAGCAGACGTTCAGCTTGGATGGTGAAGGTCCTTGCTCTATGGGAATCAGCTGAAGGAAATGAAGATGTCTAGCTTGAGGAAGAAATGACCACAGGGGCTGTGGGCGAAGACAGCTGCCTTTGAGTATTTGAAGTGATGTCTTATGGAAATCTTAGCAGACTCACTCTTAGCTCCAGAGGGCTTGTACTTAGGCTTGAGGTTAGAACAAATTTCTTAACATTTAGGGCTATTCAGAAATGGACTGGGCTGCCTTAGGAGGTAGTGCTTCCCCTCTAGAGGTCCCTAGACAGAGACTAGGTGGTCCTTTTGTCAGTCTGTTTTGTAGAGAAGATTTGTGTCTGGACTAGATCCTTTCACCTTTGAGATTCTGTGATTCCAATGCTCCTCTTAGGGAAGTGCTGTGAGTTTATGCTCCACAAAAGAAAACCCATCTCAGCACTTTATCATTGCTTTTCATTTCTGACCAAAAATGGAATACCTTCAACTTTGTGCCCACCTGCCTTGTTCATCAGTGTGGCTCTGAATGACTCAGCACTTGCCAGAAATCAAACCTACCTTCAGAGCATAAGATCTACTGCCACCAAAGATACCCAGAAGACTATCGTTGGGGTTCTAAAGGCAGCCCCTGAGGAGAATTTCCATAAATGCCTTGCACGATAGTATAGTTAGAAAAGGTGTATGGCCTTTTAGAGTGGCTACTTTGAAAGTAACTACAGTCAAAGGAGGGGATAATTGTTAACCAGACCGCTGGAAGTTGGTGTGCTGTATGGAATCAGCGAATAGGCAGAAGTAGGCTTTGTTTTACATCAGCCCTCAAATAAATTGATCATGACAGCATAGTGTGGCTGAAAAACATTGGGTTTAAGAGTCAGGGCAACTGGGTTCTAGCCCTGGATCTGCTACTAATATGTGGCCATAAATAATATACTTTTCCTAAGTGGGTCTCAGCTGCTCCATCTGTAAAATAAGGGATTAGGCTGGATGCCAGATTATCTCTCAGGTCCATGCTTCCCCTTCTGACATTTTAGGATTCTGCACCACAATTATTAGTAAGGTCACTAAAGATCTTTTCCCGTCACAAAATAGGCAGAGACATAGGGGAAGGACTTATGGTCAAACTTTGGTTCTGGCTTGCCAAGCAGTTGACTTATATCCTCAGAACTATAAAGGTGGAGGTGCTGAAATCTAATCTGCTGTCTACGCTGTGGAAATTGAACATCAGCTCTTATGTTTTGTTCTGCCCTTAATCTCCCCATCTTTGCCAAGGTGAGGCATCCCAGCCTCCCTTTAGAGAGCCACAAATGTGCTGAGACCTTTGAAGGGCTTGAATTAATAGTCTAGGAGGTATCAGAAAATAAAACCATTTTATTTTTCTTTGCTTGTAAGGCCCACCCTATCCCATAAGGTATGGGGACATGGGAGGGGGGAGAGGGGTTGCTCTCACGGGCTTATTTCAACCAGTGACTTCTGCCCATGGGGCAGGGCCCAGCCAGGTCTCGGGTACTAGGGCCAAGCTACTTCCCTGTGATTTTCTCTTCCAGCTCATCTAGGCGCTTCTGCTGCTCCTGTACTGTGGCCCGTAATTGCCGTAGCTCTTCCTCCAGCCTCGACATAGCCTCCTGGGAAGAGAGGCAGTCTGGAATTCAGATGCTGGGCCTAGATTCCCGTCTCTCCCTCCTTCCCCCTACAATATGCTCTCCACCGTCCTCATCCCTTAACTCCCTCTTGGGCTTCCATCCCCAAGGGCTGACCTCTTATCCTTTCTTAGTTTCTCCTTCATTCTCACCAGTTCTCACACCTGGATGCCTTGTTCTGCTCCTTGTTCACCCTCAGCCCTTCCTGCACCTTCCTTCTCTAGGCTGGGGCTGTGCACCTGAACTCTCCTCTCCATCCCTTCCCCTTTGGAGAGCTCCTTTTACCGTGCTAGGGGCTGCAGTAGACTCGGTGGTCCCACGCTTGCGGCCACTGTCCAGCCCCCTGTTGATTCTCAGCTCCCGGCTCTTAGGGGGCACATAGCCATCCTTAAGGGACACAAGTAGGGGCCCTGCATCCTTGCCCCCCAGCCACTCCTCTGCTGTGAGTGCAGGATCTGGTCCAGCCGTGGGTGGGTACAGGTCCTCTTGGAAAAGGTCTGACTGTGGGAGTAAGATGCAGGGATGGTGGGGTCAAGGTGTTGTACCTCACAAAGTGTTACCACCTACTGGCTCTTGGGGGTAGTGAGAGCCTAAAGCTCATTCCAGGTACCCTGGGTGTGAAATCACTCTGATATCCTGGCTGTAAGACTCAGAGATACCTCCCCACCCCATTCCTATGCAAACAGCCTTCCTCATGAAGGTGTTGGACCCTCAGGACCATCTTCCCAGATCCTAATCCATAATATCCCTTTATCCAGCTGGGTGGAAAGGCTGATTCCCCAGGGAAAGGGACCTGGAAGATCAAGGAAGGAAGATGTAAAGCTAGGTAAAGGTATATGGGGAGGGGTAGAATCTCACCTTCCTAGGCACAGTCATAGCAATGGGCTCACACTTCCGCTCATGTAACTTGTAGAATCTGTAGGGACATTTTTTTGGTGAGCAAAACTGCCTAGTGATCAGTGCTGGCGTGAGGTAAAGAAGAAAGGGGTAACCAGGCCAACGGATGGTCCCTCACCTGGCAATCTCACATTTGTTGACCTCCAGGCCCCGCTTGGGCATGTAGCCCATGCCTCGCTGGGACTCCTT